GGAAGGAGAGGCATCGAATGAGAAGTATAAAGTAAGAACTCTTGTAGGCAGAGGACTAATGTCCACCACATCCTATGAACTGCTAAGAACTGGGTGAGCTTGAGAAAATGCTCGGAGGCTTCAGGGGCTGCTACAGAGACAGCAATGGGGGGAAGAGCAAGGGAGGACGAGGACATTAGTGAGGCCGGCAGGGGCCAGGTCCTACAGAGTGCTAGAGTCAAGAGGAAGCCAAAGCAGGGAAGGGACCTGATTGGATTGACATTTAGGATGTTGGGTCTGGATGAAGGGGGAGAAGTGGACTAGAGCAGTGGATGGCAAACCGCGGCTTGCGAGCCACATGCGGCTCTTTGGCCCCTTGAGTGTGGCTCAGCGTTAGAACCACTTCTTCAAAATAGACTCGCCCAAGCTGAAAACCAACTTCTGCGCATGGGTCACAAAGTTTCAATCACACTGTACGTGCGAGCCTGCACATGGTATTTTGTGGAAGAGCCACATTCAAGGGACAAAAGAACTTTGATGTGGCTCGAGAGCCGCAGTTTACTGACCAATGACTAGGGGAAGCATAAGTGGGGGGTGGGCAGCGAGGTCCTGAAGTGCTCCAGGTAACAGGTGAGTGCCCAGATGCAGCCACGTGACCTAACTCGCGTCTACTTTGGCAGAAGAAGGAAATCGAACTTTCTAGAACATTTAATGTTGTGGCAGGTGGTGAGGGAAATAGAGAATTCCCACATTTCTGGCTGCAACAATTCAAAAGAAACAAGAGTTTTTATCCTGGTTACCAGCCTGGCTCAAGTTATACCCAATAGCAGCCTGCATTATGCAAATTGTGTATCCTAATTAATGTAGATCCAATTTGATTTATGCAAAGTCTTCCTCTGGGCTGTATTAGTCATTTCCTGCCTGCACCACCTCCTGCCCATCAGGACCACTTTCCCCCCCAATCCTCATCCCCACTGGTGCTCCGTGGACCGGAGCTCTGAGCGTGTCTGGGGTCAGTGAGCTCTGAGTGGCCTCAGTGGCTGAGTCCAAGCACAGGAGGAAGGTGTGTCTGAACATCCAGCCTGAGCCAGCACCCACTATGGGACTCTGGCTGTGAGGGCTTGCTCCTGAGCGCCTGCGTGCCACTGGCCCTTCTCTCCATCAGCGTGTGACGGCTCCAGCTCCGGGTAGAACGCCTCTGCCTCAGAACCCACGCCCAGTCCTCCTGCGAGGCGCTCCCAACACACACTCGCACGCCATCTGCATGCTGCAAAAATATTGACAGCCCTCCGACCCCATCGTACCTTTTGAAGGCACTCCCACACAGGAATGTCGCCTTATTTTATTGAGGCGGCATGTGTGTGTTTTACTCAACTCTGAACGCCAGGCGCCTAGAATAGCTAGCTGGCAAGATAAATGTCAATCAACTCTAGCATAATCAAGACACCCATTCCTGACTCATTAGGGCCCTCTCATTCCCTCTAAGCTTCTCAGATTTACACACTGTAATTAGGAACTTGGTGATTCTGACTGCTAAACAGAGAAGCTGAAAGGGACGCTTCCCATGTCTGAATTTTAAATATTTTCACACTTCGTTAACCCCGTTGCTGGTGTAACATCTTCTGGCCCGATTCCCTCACACGGCGCAGTTTTTATTTTTGGACAGAGATGAGAACAATTAATTGAATTCAGACACATATTGATTACTGTTTTTCATGAACTCTGAGCAGCTTGTCTGGGAGTGGTTTTATTGAGGAGTTGTTAAACAACTGTTCGGCGGGGCTGCATCCCTCCCGTCCTCACCCAGGCTGGAAGCGCCTGTTGGCGGGGCTGATGGCCTGTTGGTGGAGAGCTGAGTTGTTCACAAGCGCAGTCAGACTGGGGAAGGCCATACCCGCCCTCTTCACACACTTGCCCCGACTGGAACACACTTGCCCCGACTGGGGCACACTGATATCCACTCACACCGAAGCAGGGCTCTGGCACAGCCTGTGGGAACCGCCTGATTCCCATTCCTGGTGAGAATACTCAGCTCTCAGGACCCCATGTGAGCAGGGACATCACTCAGATCGTTCAATAGCCACATTATTCATCCAAGGGCTGCACTGCGTTCAGCGAGTGGAACTTTCCAGATCCAGATGATTAAGTTTTAGCATGTTTCTTGGACGAGTGCTTCTCACACTTCAATGTGCACATGAATCACCAGATCTTGTTAAAGCACAGCCTCTGGTTCAGCGGGGCCTGGACTGGGGCCTGAGACTCTGCATGTCTGATGCCGATCTATGGACACAAGGCCTTTGATGTGACCTACCTCTGCACCACCTGCCACTCTGTGTTCAAGAAGAGCATTCTGCCAGAGCTGGTTTGCTTAGTGGATAGAGCATCAGCCTGTGGACTGAAGGGTCCCAGGTTGGATTGCAGTCAAGGGCACATGACCGGGTTATGGGCTCGATCCTCCCAGTAGGGGAAGTGCAGGAGGCAGCTGGTCAATGATTCTCTCTCATTGTTGATGTTTCCATCTCTCACTCCCTCTCCCTTCCTCTCTGAAATCAATAAAAATATAAAGAAGAAGAAGAAGAAGAAGAAGAAGAAGAAGAAGAAGAAGAAGAAGAAGAAGAAGCAGAAGAAGAAGGAGAAGAAGAAGGAGAAGAAGAAGGAGAAGAAGAAGGAGAAGAAGAAGGAGAAGAAGAAGAAGGAGGAGAGGGAGGAGGAGAAGGAGGGCAGCATTCTGCATCTCCCACTAAAGTATAGGTCTCTGGAGATCAGAGGCCATGGTCTGATTCCTAACCCGAGTTACAGCAGGAGAGAGGAAACGTGACAAAGTTTTCACATCTCTACCTGGGCACAAGGTCTTCCAAGAAAAAGTTGAGCTCTCATTGCAATTTCACAGATGATGGAAATGTTCTTGCCTCCTGGCACATTTTCCAGATGATCCCAAGATGGTGATGTACCCACAGCCAATTAGCCACACAATGGCCAGGTAATTGTTTGAGAATGTAAATCTGATTCCTACGGCTCTTTATTCCTCTGTGGATAAAGCACAACTCTGCCCCTGCCCACACATGGTCTTATCACTGTCCTTCACGCTCACAAAGATCCAGTCACTCCGACCTCCTATTTGTCAAACATGCCAAAGCCATTTCTACCGCAGGGCCTTTGCACTAGCTATTTTTCTTCAAGTGTCATCACTTCTTTGCTTTCAAGGACTGGCCACAGGCAAGGTTTCAACAGTAGAGCGACTCCAAAATTGAGTTTAAAACCTTTGATTTTGTATGTTTGACATCAATTTATTTTTCTCTTGATTCTTGCCCAGTTGGAGACTGGAACGGTCTGACACTTTCATATTACAGTGAGAAGATGGAAGCCCAGAGACAGAATGAGACAGAATCAAAGCCACTCATTTTTTTGGGGGGGCAAAACTGTCCAAGAACAGACCCAGAGATGGAAAGCTGGCATCACAGAGAAGAAAATGTAATCTTAACGCAATACATAGTCTTGGGCCTGCACTGCTTAACAATATTTACAGTATTAGACCGTTACAACCCACCTACACCCCTCCCCATTTTTGGCTTTTGACTTTGCTGGGTTCAAGGTTGAACTTAAGAAGGGGTAGACAATCTTGAATTTCTCTTTCATTTGTGTCATCCTATTTTTCTTTGTCACAAATTATACTTTTTTGAGGCCAGAGAGGGTGGTTTTTAATTTATGGATTTCTCTCTTCAATTACAACAAGAACCTAATTTTAAAAATCAAATTGGTTTCATCTAATTAAATTTGGAAATTGCCTCATAAACATATACTCTATTATAAATGTCTTTAAAAGCAAGGGCTCCCGCTTCCTGTGTGGAGCAGGATTGTGTTGAGCCCAGCCTGGGGGAGGGAGGGAGCTCCCCATCTCTCTGCTCAGAAGGACACACACTCTTTTATCACGTGTCAAAACCCTCCAAAGACTCCTGTGGTCTACAGCAGTGTTTCTCAAACTCCAATGCCCAGATGAATCACAAACAGGCATCTTATTAGAATAAAAACTGTGATTCAAGAGCTCTGGTGAAGCTCAGATGATAATATTTCTAAGTAGCCCCCAGGCGTTGCTGATGCGACCAAGCTGACTAAGGGGCAGACACATGCACTTGAATTCAGGATCCATGAATTTGCTATCATGTGACCTCGGTCTTTTCATTTCACCACTCTAAGTCTCAATTTTCCAATGTTTATGCAATGATAAGAGCTAACATTTATTAATGAGATTTCTAAATGCCAAACAGAGTACTTAACGTATATTTATATATGCTTATAAATATAAATGAAAGGCTTCGGGATAAACCCAAGGTGACATAGCAAGTAAGTGGTGGAGGATCAATCTTGGCCATAGTCCAATACTAGAAATGAGCTCTATCAGCCCTATTGAAGTCTTGTTAGATTGTTTTTGTTTTGCAGTAAACTTCTGTACAGCTTGTTGTAATTCCAGAAGTATTTAGGAAGCCACATTGTGTTGGCTTTTGAATCTTTCCCGCCTGGGTAGGACCTGCTCCATCTCTGATTCAAGGTCCTACTCATCCTGGGACAGCATCACATGGTTGACAATAAAGTAGGCCTTGTCCCCAGAGAGATGTTAAAGCTGGAGAATCATGTACCCCAGGGTAGAGTGACATTGGGACTCTTTTGGAAGCCCAAGGACGGATGTGGGTAGGCTGGGCATCATGCGAGTATTATGGATAAATCGTAACTACTGCTTGCCAGGCCTGGGTCCGCTTGGCTGTGCCAGGACAGCCCAGCTCCCTGAGTCCTGAGACCTTTGCTGAAGAGACAGAGAATCCCTCCCATGCACAGCATGCCCATTCTCTTAGTCACCGGGGCTATCATGACAGCACAACAGTATGCCCTGCATTTTCCTTCCGCTGAGTCTGTGATGGTGTCTCACTCACCTTCATGCTTTGCACTTAGCAGGTGTCCACCGACCTCAGGCTGAAGTCAACAGAATGGAACCGTGACAAGAGATACAGCCCAAGGGGCTGCCTTACCTCGTACAGCGTGATGACTCCATTGGTCTCATTGGGCGGTTTCCACTGGATGTAGATCTTCTCCTCAAAGGGCCCCCCTTGGATGGATTCTAGAGGAACCGCACCTGGAACTGCAGAAGGGGAAAATTAGGAACATGATTTCACCTTCCGTCTCATGTCCTCAGTCCCACTGACCTGGAACAGGAGTTGGCCAAGTCTCCCTGTAAGAGTCAGATCATAATTATTTTAGGTTTTGTGAGCCATACGGTCCCTGTTGCAACTACTCAACTTTGCGTGTGAGGCACAGAAACAGCTTTAGACCATCGATACATAAACAGGCATGGCTTCATTGCAATAAAACTTTTACTCCTAAATACAGGCACTGGGAGGGAGTGGACCCATAGGCCACAGTTTGCTCACCCCTCTCCTGGAAGCCCGGTGGCTTTTCCCCTGCAGACAGAGCAACCCTGGTTTTGAACTTCACCTGACCAGGGTTGGAGGACACCTGTAGGTCCCCGAGTCCTGCCAGCTGGGGCTAGACTCTTGCCTTAGGACTGGTATTTGCAGAATGCAAAGTGAGTTTCACTGGCCAAACCCTGCCCGATTTTCTCCAGCTACAGGGAGTGCTTCCTCGGTTGAATCCATGGGGAACTATGTGCCCTGAAGTCTCAGTCCAATTAGAAGGAGCTTGCCATGCTCCAGGGAGGCAGCTAGGTCATCGGCTGAGCTTCCAATGTCTGGAACACGGTGGATGCTTAATAACCATTTGCCGGCTGGGTGAGTAGGGGAATAAATGACCTATGCTGGCATTTTGCCTTAATGAGCAAAACCTTTCCTAGGCTGCTTGGTACCCAGGTCTGTCTCCCAGCAAGCATCCTTCTGCTGGACTCCACCATCATGAGACAGCCTGGAAGATGCTGAACCACAAAATAAATAATTTCCCGAACTTCTTTATAACAACCCCCAAGAGAATCGTGAATTCATGTAAAGCATTGCAGGATCTATTTACACGGTGGCCTTATAAAAGCCAATCCTTTTATGAAGCACTTGTGCTTTGATCAGAATTTTACATACATTATTTCATTGAAGCCCCAAACCAGCTCTGCCCAGCATGTATTATCTCTTTTGCGCCGAGAAGAGAATTGAGGCTCAGAGAATTAAGTAACTTGCTCAAGGTCATATGGCTCTTAAATTATAAAGAAGGAGCTGAACACCTGTCTGTGAGTTTCAAAGCATATACTCTTAATCACCACGCTCGCCGCTCTGGGTAGAGCCTTGGCCATATGTTGCAATCAGTTCCCTATTGTTAAATTAAAATATATTTAGTTTTAATCATTATGGACCTGATACTCAGGATTTGTTGACTATTAAGAATATACAAAAAAGATTTAAAGAAGAAAAGAACAAAATAACTCATATTCCTCACAACTGGAGATATTTTTATGCCTATGCATATGCCTATTTATTTTTAAAAATCAAACTCCTACTGTGCAATTTGTGTTGTGATCTTTTAAAAACATATATTTTATTGACCTTTTTACAGAGAGGAAGGGAGAGGAAAAGAGTGTTAGAAACATCAATCAGCTGCTTCTTGCACACCCCCTACTGGGGATGTGCCCACAATCAGGGAACATGCCCTTGGCTGGAATCGAACCTGGGTCCCTTCAGTCTGCAGGCCGATACTATGTTTACTGAGCCAAACTGATTAGGGCTTGTGCTGTGATCTTCTTTTATAGCTAAACAAATCACACTTAGAAAAAGCCTTTAGCCGAAACTGGTTTGGCTCAGTGGATAGAGTGTCGACCTGCAGACTGAAAAGCCCTGGGTTCTATTCCAGTCAAGGGCATGTACCTTGGTTGCGGGCACATCCCCAGTAGGGGGTGTGCAGGAGGCAGCTGATAGATGTTTCTCTCTTTCTTTCTCATTGATATTTCTAAGTTTCTATCCCTCGCTCTTCCTCTTTGAAAAAAAATCAATAAAATATATATATATATTTTTTTTAAAAAGAAAAGAAAAACCTTTATGTGTTCTTTGGGGCCATGCATTTTAAAAGGCTGCCTATAGAAGGACAGGCCCCATTCTAGTCACCAATCCTTTATTACCAGGGAGCAGTTAGGCCTTCACCAGGCATTACATTTGGCTTAAATTCTTCATGATTACAAGTAACGCCATGATGAGCATTCGTATAAGTATTTTCATGAACCTCTTATGTCCCTATGACACATTTTTGGAAATCAATTTATTGAGCCAATGTAGATGAACTATTTTATTTTAAAAACTTTTGATATATATTACCATATTACCTTCCAGAAAGTTGATACAATTCTAGGATCCCCAACAGAAAAATATGCCAATTTTCAACCTCTGCCGCCACTGACTATTAAAAAAAAAATGTGTCTGTGTGTGTATCTTTTTTTAGAATACTGAAAAGAGTGGATTTGTTTTTTCAATTTAATTGGCCATTTGCATTGATTCTTTCATGAACATCCTCTCTATACCCTGTGCTCATTTCCCTGTATGGCTCTTCATTTTTGTTCATCATTGTTTTATGAGCTGGTAATTATAATCTGTTTTTAAGAACATAAGCTGTTTTGCATAAGTTACAAATATTTTTTTGTCAGTTTCTCATTTGCTTTTAAATCTTTTAGGTATGTAGAAGCTTTGGAGTAGTCAGATCTCTTATTGCTTTTCCTTAACCATTTATCCTTTCCACAAATATTTACTGACTATTTAATATGACCAAGGGGATGGCGGTGGTCCGCCAGGCATGCCCTGATGGCTAAGAAAGATAGAGTCAAATCCATGCTAAAGCTTGTGTTCTGGAAAGGGAGACAGACATGAAATAAATAATTACACTCACAATTAAATTCTTAGAGTTGTTATCAAGACTTGGAGATAAAGTGCAGGTATCAGGAGAATTATAACAAGCTGAGAAAAACCAGTCTGGCAAACCAGGATAATATGTGAAAATAAATTCAAGTCAATGGATAAGTAGAAGTTACTTGGGCAAAGATGGGGAGGGTGGGTATTGAGTGGGGTGGATACCTTTGGGAGGGCAAGAGTAGGAGGGGAAAAACCATCTGGGGGAGCAGTATGGTAGCTTGGACCAGGGTGATGGTATGCAGAAGACATGGAAGAGAGTTGGGGGGGCTGACCCAATGAGAATTGGTGGTGATGGGTAAGGGTGAAGGGATGGAGAGAGGTGTTAAGGGAGACCTAGCTCCTCTGCTTTACACATTGGAGTGGATCCGAGTGTTGTTCACAGAGAAGCTTAGAGGAGAGCTGGTTTGGGAAAGGAAGCTTTGGCCATACCTCATGGGAGGTGTGTATGTGTCCTTGTGGCAATTTTGAGTTGTGGTGTTGGATACATGAGACTGGGAGCAATGTTTAGAAATTAAAACCATGGGCAGTGAATAGATATTGTAATAAGAATGTAGAGGCCAACAACAACAACAAAAAAATGTAGGCCTAGGACTAAGCCCAGAGGAACTCCAATATTAACAAATAGGAAAACAAAGACACTGAAAACCAGAGGCTGTGTTCAGAGGGGCAAGGGAAAATCAAGGCCTCTAGTACATCCTATAAAAATCTCTTGGATTGTGTCTTTCCTCTCTCATTATAATACCTTTGGATAAAGATAAACTCTCCAAAGTTTTTCTTTTATTATATGAGAGAAAGGAAGAAAAAGAATGACTTTGTAATTAGATTTTGGTAATTATTTCACAGTGTATATGTATATTAAATCATCATGTTGTACATATTAAATATATACAATTTTATGTATATAAATATATACAACCACACCTAAATATATACAACCACACCTAAATATATTTTATGTATATAAATATATACAACCACACCCAAATATATACAACCACACCTAAAAAAAACTGGGGTGGGGAGACAGACTTAGTTGCACATGCTGTTGGTATCCCACCCACATTTCAACTGTGTTTACTATGAAACCCTGGCTCTCTTCCTGACGGCTGTGGAAGCAAACTTGGTCTCCACATAGGGCAAGCAAGAGAATGCATGCCCCAAAACATCCTTCAACCAGTGAAAGACAGGAAGTTGATGGTTAAATATCCCAGTGTTCTAACAATTCCATTTGGGTTAATTCTAAGATATGTCCTATTAATATTTCCTAAACTATTCAATACTGAAACTCCTGTGCTGCTTATTATTATTATTATTTCTGTTGTTAACAACCCACTATGGAGTGATACTATTACAAAACACACACACACAATTAATAGGAAAGTAAAATTAAATAGTAAAAGTGAAATTAAAAATACAGAAAATACAAGCTCCTTCTTTTTAAAAGCTTAACCTTCATTTATGCAATTGTCTTTTCATGGACCAAGAAGAGTTCACCAGTCAGTGCTGGTCCCTGAAACACACTTAGAATGTCACTGTTCTGAACTCTAGTTATTCACCCAGTTATTTTCCTCACTAGAGGCCTGGTGCACGAAATTCATGAACTGGGAAGGGGGGGGTGTCTCTCAGCCCGGCCTGCGCCCTCTTGCAGTCCAGCCCTTGGGGGATGTTTGACTGGTGATTCCATGAGGAGGGGGACCTAAGCTATAATTCGGACATCCTCAGCTAGCGCTGCCCTGGAGGTGAGAGAGGCTCCCGCCACCACTGCTGTGCTCGCCAACCATGAGCCTGGCTTCTTACTGAGTGGTGCTCCCCCTGTGAGAGTGCACTGGCCACCAGGGGGCAGCTCCTGCATTGAGCATCGGCCCCCTGGTGGGTCATTCTGCTGTTCACTTGATTTGCATATTAGTCTTTTATTATATAGGATAAGACACCTTGTATCGCTTACTTCTCTTGTCTGATTCAATTCCTTTCTTTATTACCAGTGTGCCCTAAGCCAACTCTTAAACTACTTGCATTTGAATCCATATATCAGGGCCAGATAAACCCAAACAAAAAAATTATCCTAAATAAAAGTCTTACGTAAAAATATTTCCTCTATGCTGAGATCACAAGAATGTTTTTTTTTTTTTAAATGTTCTTCAGTGTTAAAGTTACACACTCTATAAAATGTCTCCAGACCCACCAGCAATGGTGTTTTCATGTATGATGTGAGGTAGGGATCCAATTTAAATTTTTCCTCTCTTTCCTA